ACGATTTTGAAATGTTAAGAGTAAAAATACAAGATATTCTTGAAGTTGTAGTAGTAGTGTATTCAAAAGTAATATACCTCCCTGGAAATTATAATCTTATATATAATTTATATCAATCCACTAGATCCATACTAAACTTATTGATATATCTAATGCCGAAAATTTCCCCCTTAAGAAATGTTATAATCTTTATCTACATTTTTATTAGATTGGCAGATATGATTGGCAGATATCATGATTGATACGTATAAGAAGCAACATATATGTAGAAGCAGTACTTAGTATCAATCAGCTTTTACACTCTAGTAAAGTTTTAATTTGTTACAACCAGTATATATTTTGGTTCTAGAATTAGAATTTTGTTTTAGGTTAGTGTATTTTAGTTTTAGAAATGATTATAAAATCTAAATATTATATTATTTTAATTATTGGTTGGCTTAAGTGTTAAGCTATTCTGGTCTTAGTGTATAAACAAGTAATATATAATTAAATATTAATGTTAATGTTGGGGTAAATACAAAGCTCGAAAAATGCAACTGCGTGGCACAGGTAAAGGAAGATAGAGAAAGTGGAAGAAGAAGAAAAGTAAACGTGGTATGACTTCACAGCAGTCATTTTACTGGCGTTTGATTTTTTACAAATTTTTTTTAACTGGTTAATTTTAAAATCACGTGAAACATTCAATAATAATAATATTTAGAGAACTCTGTTTTTTCTAAAAAGGTGTGCTGCAAAGAGTATTATTTAATTTTTTAAAAATTTTATTTAAATTACTATTAATTTCCTATTAAATTGTATATTGTATTATTTTCATATTTGTGAAGAAATATTTTATATTAGAAATTCCTTAATATTATACATTCTAACAATAAGACTCCGTGCAATGTTTATGAAAATCACGATTTCCATTTACACAAATGAGCAAAAAATCACTAAAAGCCACCGCAACCACACATTAAAATTTGGAGCAACTGCTTGGGTACATTAAGAAACCCATAAGCCTACACAAGCCTACACAATAGCTCCGTAGCAAGTCGTAAATCTTCGAAAAATGCTTAATAGCGTTTCTAATGCTACCTCAATCATCAAACGAGCTACCAATTCACCCTCGAAAACATACATTATAATGTCTAATTTATAGGATTTTAAATGCAAAAATAGGTGTTGTACCGTTAAGAAACTCAATTGTAGGCAAACAAAAAAACAAAAACGCAAACACACAAACACACAAAAACGTAAAAACAACATCGAATAAAAAGTACTTCTGCAAAATCGTAAGGTAATTATCGAAGTAGGGGGTACACCCACACGCCTTTGAGTATGTGCTCATACTCAAGAAACCTATTAAAATAGTAATAAAACTAGAAAAATTATAATCAAAAGAAAAGGTAAAAAATCGATATTAAAGTCATTTCGAGACACGCAATTCTTCTAAATAATGAAACAAAAAAAAAACAAAAAAATAGAAAAATAAAAACAACGCCAACCATAACAACAAAAACAACTACTAAAAACAATATATAAAGGGGGAAAATAACTAATGTACGAACGACTTCATGTAAAGGCACGATAGTAGTAAATATGCGGAATACGTGTACATTGTATACGTATGTATATTATTATTGGGCTTATATGGATACCAACCAATACACGCAAACTTCTTTTTGTATGGGCCCGTGTATGTCCATGTTGTTGCCGCCATTGCTACCGCTTGGTTGCTACTTTTTGTGTTGGCGCTGTGTTGCCGCATAGCATAGTTTCGCGTACACACGAGTTGAGCACAGTGAGGTTAAGACGGGTTGACATTCCAATTCCAATTCCAGGACAATAATTCTGCTATAAAATAATACAAAATATAAAATAAAGCAACAAATAAAAGCAACTACAAAAAATCAAGTAACTGCGCTAAAGTTTTAACTTATAAGCGCGTGTAATTGCAAGTAAGTTTGGATTCGTGTGCGTGTGCGTGAGTGTGTGCGTGTGCGTGTGCTTGTGTGCGTGTAGGATTCGGAGTTGTAGCAGAACAAAGTGCAAAAGTTTGCCATTCTCCAAAACGAGATAAAAACGAAATTTGGCACTTCTGTTTTATTCGAATTGTGAACTGCATTTACTAAAATTACTAAAATTACATTAGGAAATGCTTTTATTACATTAAAATGAAGAGATATGATTTTCTAAAACAGTTTTGATTTATAAGCTAAATTTCATAATTTGAAATAGTTTGAAATAGTTTCGGTTTTTATTAAGAAATATGTGTTTTATGTATTTTAAATGTGTTATGCTTACTCGAATTTAAATTAACTTAAGTGTAGCATTTATAATATACCTGGTTTGTTAGTTTATTTTATACCTAACCAAAATTTAGACTAGACTGGTGCTTCTCATATCATAACGTACTCTGGACCAGAAAGATATTCAATGTGTTTTAAAAGGTCTAGTAAAATTCTTAATTCATTTCAAATAAATGACAGATGTCAATGTCTTCACAATATAATACGACTAAAAGCGATTATTCAAAATATTACCAATAGCTAATTACTAATTACTTAACGTCATAACAATTGTCGAATCTTAGTGATATAGGATGTTTGCGATATAGGCTAAATTGCGTTTTAAATGAGGGAAATTCTAAGTTGTGTCGATAATGTAGTGATGTGTCGATACGTGTTGATAAATGGCTAAATGTGTGCAGTGCAAAAAATCCCAAAAAATCTCCCATTTGGTTTAGCATCAACTTAGCCTAACTCGCACACGTCTATAGTACAAGTATTTAGTATACCAATTTTTATTCTTCAAGCTATTTTAGTTTTGAAGATATTGAATATTGAAAAATTGCACATCACAAGTTGCCCATGTTTGGTTTCAATTTTGGAGGGTTTCGGTTGAGACGATGGTGCCCAAAATACATTCAAAAGCAAGCTTATATTTAAGGAAATTTTATTTAAATATCTTTACTGGTTCAGAAAATACCGAATTTTCAAAGTCTCATTTTAATCCTAAATTTAATTCACCGACACTGGGCGGCGATTGATAACCTTGAATAAAACGATATATTTTTATAACATAATATATTAATGATCTTTATCTACTATCTATACTAGCACACATTCAGAAAACTTGTTTATTTCTGCTTTAAAGTGGTTGCTACATATTCCGCGGATTGACTTTTGAGAAACCGTGGACTTAATATAATAGGTCCATTAACTTGAATTATACTTACGTATATCAAGAAAACTTATTTAATTTTACTTTAAAATCGACTGCACAATTTTCGTAAGCTATATATAATACGTATTAAGAGTAATAATTTGTAACATTTTGAAACAAACCCTCTATACTATATAAATTAAAAAGTCATTGAAATTTTTATGTTGTATGACTGCGTATCAGTTTAGCTAAAAACTTCTATTAAACAAAAGTTTAAATTTTTGAACTTAAAATTTCCTCAATGTTTCTCTTCATTGATAATCATTTCATCCTTACTTTATACTTTCGTTTAAACAAAAACAGCTGTTGGATTTTAGCAGCAGAGTATTTTAGATGTCCTGCACTAATTATATTCTTAGTAAGTTGATTCCAAGATAGTTTACTCTTCTAGATATTACGCTTTAGAACAAAATGATTCGTATATTCCTTCATCTTTTAAAGCGAACTTTATATATAACAACTCGGTTAATAAGGATCCTATTTAAGCTATCTCAGCCATAAATGGAAGACAGTATAGCTACATTCTTCGCTAAAGCTTAAATTTGAATATCAAAACTAAAAAATAGATCACCAAGTTCTAGCCCAGTACCGAACAAATTTTCTCTGTGAACTATATTAATTTATTTAATTTATGATACACTCGCCTTACATTCTTAACGAGTGTATTTTTAACTACCAGTTTCATACCTTCCTACTAATTCAACAAATAGCTATATATTCTATTGCTTTCATATAAGCTTTAACTATATAAGGATGCAACAAATATGTTGATTTGTTAACTATCTAGTTCTAACAGGGCTGAAAAGTTGCATAGACGCATACTGATGAATAGAAAAACAATTAGAAAAGTTACAAAATTAATCTTCGTTGTTAGCAAAAGACCTCGAATTTAAAAAATATTTCATTAAAAAGGTTTAGTATTAGAACCTGTAAAGGTTCCTCATTATTAGCTCTTTTATGAATATTCTTTACATTAGAGTTTTCAATACGCTCAACTGAGCAGACATCTGTCGTTAACTGCAGTACGGATTTAATTCAAGTCGTAAGTTTTGGAACCAATTATAACGTAGGTACAGTTTATTCCCGACCACCATCAATCGTTTTCAGCACTATTGCAGCAAGTTAATTGCAGTTCAATTGAATCACATTGTATATAACTTCTTTTCTCGTCACATTCATAATTTTTATTATCATTATATGTATTAGATTACATTGTACAATAAATATATTATACTATATATATTTTGTATGTTAAATTTTCTTAAAATATTTTTATATAATGCAGTAGTCAGCAGTTTATATATTTAATGTATTTTGCAAAAAATTTTATATATTTTATATATTTCCCTATTTTCCATATAAGTAATGTGACTTCTGATCCTGCAACTGTATATATATAGATATATTTTCATAGCATTATTATGATGGTTCATATAATGTAGCGCACGATTTAAATTGCAGGTCTATGGATCGAAAAATTTTTAAGGAGTACATAATAGAAACTTAAGTGACATTACACCCGCCGAATCAGCGTTTCAACCAAAACAGAGAGATTTTGTCGTATTTAGCTAAAAATATACAGTTTCATATAATTAAAAGCACTTGTGATTAATATTTTTAATACTTTTGTCATCGTTACCAACTACGGTCTTAATAGTTTTCAGCTCTCTACTTCAACATAGAAAAACTAAATATATAACAAAATAATCAAGGAGTCATAGGCTAGGTTAAAACAATGACATCTTAAATAACAAATACTATTTTCAATTATATTTAAAAACTTTTGTGGTACATTTCACATATCTTTAGATATATTTTTTAATTATTCATCAAAATTATATTATTGCTTAAAATTGCGTCCTAATGCCTTTAAGTCGTGTTTCGAGGCAACGTATAAATTCCGTTCTATCGGCATTACATACAACTGTAAATCTTGGCTACGTACCGCTGCTTATTTATTTGGGATTACGCGCTGATAGAAGACGAGCTAGTATGAGAAAGAATCGATAGTTCCAGATCCGTGATTGGTAAAAATTAAACAGTTTAAAGTTTGATGTTTTTATTTGACCTATTTTACCTAATATTTAGAAAAAGGAAAATTGTTGGATTGATTTATCAAGACAAGTATGATTAATCTTCAATTACGTAAAGAAAAAATCGCTACACATATACTATTTTTTATTTGTTATTATGTACTGGTGGAAGACGAGCTGATGCGAGTATCTACATATAGTGCAAGATCAGTTATTGATAAAGATTTAGGGATTTGAAGTTTGATGATCTTTTTAGAGCTATTGTACTTTAAATTTGAAAAAGGAAAATTGATTGGTTGATTGATCGTGATGAATATAACAAATTTTAATTTATATAAAAATTATTAGTTTTCATAAATGTATTAACTAAGCTTTGTTCAATTTATTACATTTGATTTAAGTTGATATATTGTGTGTAATAAAAATCTTAAGCAAATAATTTTGAGTTCCATTAAAAATAAAATCAACAAGCACAGATATATATATATATCAGTTATCAACAGTTTTTATTAACAGACAAAAAATGATATATCATCATGTACGATTTTGAAATAGTAAATTCTGATTATTATTTTAGTATAATGAAATCTTAAATATATATGTATTCGATCATTGGTTCGATTTCTATTTTAATTAGAATAAAATATTAAATATGATTTAATATAGATATTTAATATCGAATTATATTAAATTTGTATTCAATATTCAATTCGCTTATATCAAAAATTAAAACGCGGGTGCCTTGACATGGCTATGTCGTATTCTCCTTTAACAGTGATATATTAATTGTAATGCTAATCTAACGTCTCAGTTTCGGCTATCCGTATTTTATTTGAACAAATTTTTTTTTCTACAGCCTAGTTTTATGTTTGTAATAACTCAGTAGTTACTAGCAGTCAGTTCTGGAGTTTATAGTGAATGAGAAAGTATAGTAAAGCATAATTTATTCAACTTCTCGTTTTTATAGACTTGTGACACGGGGAATTGGCTTAGAAAAATAGCGTTATTGGGCTTCCATGTGACATTTTTTTCTCATAATAATTTCACTCAATCGATCTAATAATACACTTCTCCGGGAAGTCGATGAACAAAATATCATGCACTTCCTAAATCAGGCAATGATCTTTTTCATTCATGTGTGTAGAAGTATATCAATTATTTCATCAAAAGTCATATACCGATGCAAGATAAGATTCTCTTTACCTCATTTAACCAACTCAGTAGCGCTTTAAATCTCCGAAATTTGTTAAATAAACCACTGTTACCTATAAAATCTTATTAATATCTCATGAAGTTTTGATATGACTCCTTCCTCCACAAATATAGGGTTGTCAACAGTATTTGCCATATATATGCGGGACACTTATTGATTGATATGATACGCAATCTATGAATTTCGCAAACTATGTGTGAAGGATACGAAAGTAAGCTACTTATTGTAGAAAAACTTGGAAGTATTGATTTCTTATATTAAACTTTATGTTATTTTATACACCATTGCGTATTGAAATATAAAAGTTTTATAAGTATTACGTTTAGAGTTAGTATAGAGTTGTATATTTCTAGATTTATGTGTATTCGATGTCGTCAATGTATTACGTACTCGAGTGGAAAATAATGCAAGAAAGTTTAGTTTTTATTTGGATATATTTTTTACTTTTTATGTATAGTTTTTATTTTGTTTTCTTATATGGAATATTTTTATTCCAAATAGTTTGTATGGTTATTTTAAATAAAAATTATTTTCTAACTTTATTGCTTATTTAAAAAATACTTATAATATAATACGCACATATATATATATTTATTCGTATATATTAAATGCTTTTTTTTCAAAAGTTCAATATCGTTTTATAAATAAAAATATGTTGTACAAAGCAAGGATACCTGCAATATAGTTTAAAACCTGGTTAATATTAATAAAATGTTTAATATTGAAATTATTTTATGCGTATTTTTCTGCAATATAAATATTTTTAATTCCAAACAATTTTTATGAATTTTTATTTAAATTATTTTCTTTCTTTGCCTTTTGCTTTCAATGACGGTTGCTTGTGTTGAAAATATTCAATTTACTGAAGAAGTAAATTTTTGTTTTTAATTTCATTTTACCTCCTGCTCAAAAAGTACTCGGATTTTGCAAATAAAACACATGAATTTAAATTTTATTCCAAATTTATTTTATATCCTTCAAAATAGGTATGCTCCTTCTAAAGCGATACAGATATGCCAACGTTTAACCCAATCTTCCATACACTTTTCGTAGGCCCATGCAGGTATGGCCTTTAGTTCCTTCAGCGAATTCTCTTTTACCGATTCAACCGCCTCAAAACGCTTACCACGAAGGAGCAATTTGCGTTTCGGGAACAAGAAAAAGTCGCACGGATCCAGATCTGGCGAATATGGTGCCTGGGCGATGTCAGTGGGGCCGTGTTTGGTCAAAAAATCGCATACAACAAGTATTTTCCATAGTAAAAATCGCTAAATGCACTTGAGGTAGTTTCACATTAACAACTGCTGTAAATGAACTAATTGACAGATGGCGCTCAAATTTGTACCATATGTCAAGAAAGGGTATACCAATATAACAAAAAATTTTTGAAAAAGTTCTATTACTTAAGGAGTAGTTAACAAACAACAAAAACCGGATACTTTCTGAGCAGTATATTTTCGAATTTGAATTAATAGCAATAATAATTATTTGCAGTTTGAAAACTCCATTCTTTTTTCTTAGATTAATGTAGATACGACAGATAGCAAATGCATTTCACTATGATATATCGTGCCCTTTATGTTCTCATATAATTTTAATCACGACAAAATTTAAGGATTGTTAATGAATCTATCAATTTAAATAATCGGTATATGCGGTATCGAAGGCATATAAATACGGGGATGCAAGTCCCCGGATGCAAGTAAATAATGATGTTCTGAGGACTCAAAACATTAATTACCGTAGAATAAGATGGAATGGAAAACTTACGTTTTGGGCGCAAATAAAGCATGCAGTAGAGAAAGCAGCAAAGGCCAATGCTGCTTTAAACAAACTAATGTCTAACACGGAAGGATCAGTTGTAAAAAAACAGTTATAGCGGATAGCAACAGTAAACGCCATCCTTCTATATGCTAGCAAAGTGTGGGCAGACGTATTTGTTATCGAAACACGCAGAAACGAAATAATCGCAGTGCATGAAAGAAAGGCTTTACGTACAACATCAGCGTGTAACTTGTTACTTTTTGTATAGAACTAGGGCTAAATATCGAAAATCACAAGAGCATGGCTTGAATTGTAAACTAAAAGAGGCCCTCCTCGAAGTAATGCGAAAGCAATTCCAAAGGAAATAAGTCTCTCCAAAGAGGGGCATTTTAGTCCGTATATTACATTTTAATATCAAGGAGTCGGGTACCTCATTTCGACGACTGCTGACCTGAGGGTGCTTAAACGTTTCACTACCTAACCATAAACAAACAAAAAATTAAATAAATAGTACATTTACTAGATCCTTTACAAAGTCAAGATCTAAACATATTTGCCTAATTTAACGAGACTTTTGTAAAACGTCTCTTCTTCTGCACAACTACAGCTTGTACAGCTTTCAGAGTATTTGATTGGTAGTCTGTGTACGTGTTTTCAAAATGAACAAAAAATAGTATCTATAATTAATTAATTATTTATTTCTTGTTTAGTATTGCTTTTAAAGTATTTCATGTAATTTAAATTTGAATCCAATTGCAATTTCTAACCTAATTAATATAGTAAATGATAAAAATGACTTACCTGCTCTTTTTGGTTTTATTGAAAACCAAATATGATAAAGATAAATCTTAAATAGATCTTAAATAAAGAGGACTATGTTATAATAGTTAATTGTTTATATATTATATATAGTTGGGGTTTATGTTGTCATGCTAATATTGCACCGCGGTTTTTTTGTACATTTTTTGATTTTTTTCTGTATTAAAAATCAGTTTTAATCAAGTGGTCATTATTATTTATGATTTTTAGGATAGCTTCATAACTTCTTCGGTGTAGAACTCCTGTGGTTTAAGTTAGCAAAACAATTTTTATCGAGTCTTCGGGAGGCCAATTTTTTACCATTAAAATTGGTTAACCGAGACCGAAACTAGTAATAGTCAGATGATGCAGACATTATATGAATAAAAACATCTTAACCAAGTTTCGACAATTTCTTTTGAGTCATCAAATATGTATGTGGCCCGGCATTATTATGATGGTATTTAACTCCATTTTAGTTGGTAAATCTGATCGCTTTTCTTTGATCATTTCGTTCAAGTAACGAGTTATAAGCAGTAGAGAATTGAGTTGACCATTGCTCCGCTCGTAGTAGACAATTACGTTTCAATTCTATCGAACAATATAGTGTCTCAACTATATACTGACAGTTTGCGTGCCGCTCTGCCAGGTGCAAAATTTGTTCGGTTGTTTTGCAGATTGCCCGACATTTTCGGAACGAAATTGAGCAAACCACTCAATTCATAGGTCCTCACTGCCAATTGCAGAAATTTTAATTTTTTTTTGTAGAAATAAAGTATCACATAACATATTTCTTCAGATATTGAATCTATTTTCAAATCAATATAACTTTTTACATAAGCGACGAAATACACAATTGCGTTCATTAAAAATTTAGCCCGAAATGTCACATTTCGAATACGTGTTGTTTGACATATTCAACTTAGTGTTGTCAGATATATGAGTACCAATAACATCTTGTAACAAAAAACTGCAGATAGTTTTCTTATTATCCGGGAAGTGTGTTCATTGGGGAAATAACAACATATTGACGAGGTTGATATTCTGAAAAGTACAAGTCAAGTACAGCGTTGGTTCATGTGTCTCAAACTTGAATCTGCGCTCCTAATTATCCTAATCCTAATTCCAGATCAATAAAAATTAAATACGTATAATTGAAGACAAAAATTGATTTCAAAAGCAACTGATCAAAGTTATTTGCAATATTTGGAATAATATTTCGAATAAAATATTTGTTTTTATCTTTTTATTTCTCTTCGAACCCTGCTAAAAATTTTATTTCTTTGGTTTATTACTAGCAATCATTTTAATTAATTTTTATTTCAAGAAATTTTTTTTATTGAATTAGGTTGTAGTGTTTAAATGTTCACCTCCCAAAACTATTTGAGATTCGGTATCTAAGTTTATGAGAATTCAGAATGATTATCATAATCATATAAGTAAGATATTTACATCATGCAAGTATTACATATGGTATTTCTTCATCATTTCGAAAAACGTTTCACCTTCCAACTGATTTACATAATTTTAAGGAACCTTCAAAAGTTTTATTTCCGTATATGTAGAAAAGATTGAAATAAGTTTTCACTACTTTGCAGTGTTGTGTTATATGTAGTCCTCATGTGCTTCTATCCAAATTCATTTATGTGAATCCGTGTTAGGAA